ATATCAGTCTTCCCCCCCATTCCCCCTCCCACTTTCCTTCCCTCTTCTGCTCCCCTTCCCTCTTCTAACTTTCACTTTCAGCGTCTGAAGCATCCAAAGCATTTCCAGAGCTCTTTGGAAGCTCCGAACCGCTTCGGACATCTTAACTGAGCCCGCGCTTCGCTCTGGGCGTGCTGCTTCGGATGCCGAAGCGTCTGAAGTGGCCCCGGATCCGAAGCGCGATCCTAAGCCTTGCACAGCCCTAGTAAATTGGAGAGATCCCATATGCTAGGATTCACACTTCCAAAATCAAAGTTTACTTGTGTGGCCTGGACAATTTTTACTTGAACAGGTCAATAAACTGTAGAAATATATGCTGCAAATGTAGAAATATATACTGCAAATGTGAGTTAGTGTGAATAAAACCATAGGAGACTTCAGATTGTTTCCTTAATGTTATAATGTGGGCTCCCTTTGCTAATTTTAGCCTGTGGTAATTGTGTTTATTAGATGAAGTATGAATATGGTCTCAGTCTCTAAATATTTAAACTTTCCAAATGACCAGGTTTAAGAAAAGCAAAGCTATATACTAAGGGCATGTCTACACATTGCTGTACGGCAACATCGCTACAGCACCGTAGCACTTTAGTATTTTCTTTTGGAAGTATTAAAGCTTGGAGCAGTACAGTTGGTTACTGCACCATGTGAATGGTACATGGTCAGACTTCACTACTAGGTTGCTGTAGCAGTGTACTATACTGGGGGAGTGCACCACTACAGCGACATAGCTGACAATCACACATAGATCTGCATGATTGCTGTGTCGCCATAGCACGCTGTACAGTGACACGCTGTAGTGTATCGCTACATTGCTGTAGGGTAATGTGTAGACACACCCTAAGAGAACTGTGAGGAAGTGCCGTAGACTTATTGGCTCATGGTGGGCCTGATTTACTTGGACTAGCTGACCTCTGGAGATCTCTTCTGGCCCTACTTCTCTGTGACTCTGCGCCATAGAGCTGATAAGCTACTAGTTGCAGAAGGTGCTGTGATGCAAATCACTCACAACCCCTGATTTTTTGGGGTACTAGACCTAGCTGACATAAACTGAACAGTAGATAGGGCTAGTCTAGCCAGGAGATCCACTGAGTCAGTACATCACCTGGGAGACCTCTGTAGCTGGTGCTGCTATGGAACCAGTCTTTCCAGAAGAGCAAATGTTTTCACCTTCACAGCTCCTCTTTTATGAAGTGAGGTGAGAGAGAGAAACTTGCAGCCTCTCTGCCTCCAGGGGTGATTCTAGCCATTATTGATGAGGGATCAGCCTTCATGTGTTAGATATCTGTAACTAGGCAAGACTGCAAGTGATTTGGCCTTAATAATAGGATGATATCCTAAGGTTGGAGTATTCGTCTTTGTCTAGCTCTTAAGATATGGAAGTTAGACTACAGTTCTGCTGCGTCCCCTCCTTTCCCCAGTGTTTTGGGGACGTCTAAAGCATTCTGATCAACAGGGTTTTTGATGGTTTTGGGGGGGTGAATATATAAATAGTTCATGTTGGAGAAAATAGCTGAAAATTTGATGAGAAGTGGGCTTGGGACTTGGACGTCTGGGTACTTATATAAAGGGCAAGACTGACTCAAGCCAAGGTTATCACTGAGATTCAAATAAACACACACAAGTAAACAACATCTCAATGAACTCAGTTTGAGGTGGGATGAATCTAAAAAGTCAAGGTTAATGGATCTGTGAAGTGAGGTTGTTTTCTTGCTGGTAGAGGTAGTGAAGGCTGTGGGAAGGGAGAGGTTAGTCTGGAAGAATTCCTTTCTGCTTTAGGAAACCTTTTCTGGAAACAAAACAAATGACCTCTAGCCAGGAATAACTCTCAGCCTGTCCTTTAAAAATTGAACTAAGAGCAGTGCTACATTCCTCACACTTACTCATTCTATTGCCAGATTTTCTATATCTTTTCCAGAAAGTACTAGATGTGTGAAAAAAGAGGACACTGAATGCTATTTTCCCTAATATTTGGAAAATATGTGGAACTCCAAAGGATTGATGGGTTATTTTCAATAAGTACCATTCTCATTTTGGAAAGTCCAAGAGGAAACCATTGTAATTAGGATGTCTCTCATTAGTGGGAACACTTCAGCCTCACCTATTAAAGTATTAATACAGGTATTTTTACCATTCCTCAAGGTTAATTTATTAGCTATGCAAACAAAAGCAACTGACTTAAAAACCTACCCTGCAAATATGTAAGGTTCTGAGCCTCTCCTTGCAATAAAAAAAATGTATGACATTTGAAAAGTAGGGAAAGTCAAGTGTGTGTGCACTGCAGAATTTAGTGATGTTGGAATATAGAAATATATGAAAATGTAGTGCATAAACCATATTAATATGTTTTCCATATGAAAAATCAGTACTTTTCTATTGCAGTATATGTTAAATTTCTTCTGTAGGTTTTTGCCATCTATTTTCACAAAAAGGAGTTCTTTGCCTGCCAATTATACCTTAACTTTCCCCTTTAGAAACATTTACATTGTAACACAGATAAATCCAAAGTCCTTAGAAGTTAAAAAATGAACAACTTAGCATTGGTCTTAACGGAAAATTATTTCCTGTCTTACACCTTGAGGACAACCTAATCAGTTTTGTTTTTTCAGGTAAAAACTAATGAATGAAACATTGCAAAGAGTTGCCTAAATATCAAGAAAGGCTTTAAAGGACACTAAAATGGGCCAGGCAAGGACCTCTTCTGCATTTGCAACTAAATTTTGGCTTTTTAGCAAATAGACTTCAGGTGCAATGTGAAGAAATACAGGAAAAAATATACTCAGATAAATTTGGATTATTGTGTTATATCATGCAGTGTCACATATTAAACTTGGAAAGCATATCTGGAATAAGAATTTTTTTTACATAACCTTTAGACCTCTCCCCCCTCAAATTGCTTCAGCTGTGAATATTTTGTAGCTAGCTATGAAATAAAACATTCCTCTATACTTGTATTATATTAACTGATTTAATTTCTCTGATATAGGGCCCTAAAGGAGATCCAGGGTTTTCCCCAGGGCAAGCAAAACGTGGAGAAAAGGTAATCCATTCTCATTTAAAAACCAATATTATGATTATTCCCTGGCCCTTTGTATTGATGGGTCTAATCTTTTTAAGTGTTGTGTGAATTTTAGTCTCTGCTTTTCAATTAATGATCATGATAGGAAGCAGTATGACCACTGCTTTTTATATGTTGTAGTGATTAATCCTGTGTCTGGTGTTTCTCTGACATTTTGTTTTTCTAAGAATAGGTAATGGATATATGGGAGTTGGATTTTAGTGCACTACAATAAAGTAAGCCTCTTCAAAAAGGCAAAAGCATTCTGTAGTTGAAACATAACTGTCATGACTATGCTCTCATTTACATACTTACATCAGGAGTGACCCTGCTTACATCAGTAAATGTGTAAAATCTATTGCGAGTGAAGAAAGAACCACACTCAGAGAAAAATTCTGATTTGAAACAAATGTAAAAATGACTCTCAACTCAGCAGTTCTGCTCCTTTTTCTCATTCAAAATCTTATATACACTCCTTAGGGAGGAGAAAAATAGCTATTTTCTCTGGGCCAGTTTTCACATAATCTGGAAAACTGTTAACTAAATTGCAGTGGGTTTATTCAGGTGTGGCTAGGGGCAGAATATTATTTTGATATGGAGCTCACTCCAAGAACCCAGCCTTCCTTTCTGATTTCAGGTTGAGCCTGAAGGGTGGGCTGCTAAGGGGAAAAAACATTCTTATTTTCAAATAGAGCAAACTGGATTGATAAATAATAGGGATGCAACTACAGCCAGATCTTGACTGTTACTTTTTAGGTTACAGCTAAATATTACACAATTTAGGACTTGTGTGCACAGGGAATTCAGAGAGAAGTTAGTACAAAATACCAAGGATATGAATTTTAGGCTATTCTGAATTTAATCATTCAGTAGATCCTGTTATTCTGCACTAGATGTGTCTTTTCCAGATTAGATATTGTAGGATAAAAAAGGCTGACTTAAACTTCAAAAAGTCACTCTTACTGTGGAATAAGAAAATTCATAAAAGAAACTTCTCATCAACAACTATTCTGAGCCTGCTCCCTGAGTAGATGAGCCCTTAGTACAGAAACATTTCTATTACATTACCCCAGTGAAGTGAAGGCAGCAAAAGGCAGCCGTTTATGAATGAAGGATCATTCAGCTCTAAAGAGTCAGTAAGAGTATTTTATGGTGGCAAGTTCAGATAACTTGACAGTAAGAAATCAAAGATTTTCACTTCCAGTTCATATTAAGTAGGATTCTCACGATAAGCTTCCATAGTTGAACTATTTGGGTATTTTATGTCTTGCTAAAATATTTGTCAGTATAAACATATAGAGAGGTTCTTTGTGGAAGCTGTGGGTTGGATACTTATGTTTACTTCACTTTTGGACTGCATATCTACTAATTATGGTTAACACTTTAAAACCAATGTGCTAATACTGAAAATTTAATATCATGTTTATGTTTTAATGCATTAGCTAATGCTATCTGTTTTAAGAACGCTTTGTATTTATCCTAAATTATATAACTATGAGCTATATCTTTTGTTTTTATGTTAAGCCTTATTATGAAAACTTGTCAGGAGACAAACTGTTGTAACATTTTTACTAACTGCAAAATGTAGCAAAAATCCTGACTTTACATTCTTGTTACAGAAATCTGTAACAGATATATGTATTTATAGCTGTTTAAGTTATCTAAATCACTGTAACTTAAACCTTGTTACAACAGTTTGAGTTTATTTTTGCTGTACAAACATGCAGATGTAACAGTTGCATTGTAACAGGTTCTACTGGTATCATTTGATTCTGATATAACCATTGCATCTGTCTACTCCTAGACCAATTCCCAAAATGGGGCACTCTGACACATCACATTTGAATCTGGCCCACTGATTTTACAGGATTCCTGAGGTTAATAAAACTCACAAGTTGAAAAGCCATAAAAGAAGAGTTGAACATAAAAAGCAATTTGTGATATTTTAAGAAGACATAAGCTTCCACCTTGCCCTTTTTCCCACTCCCTAGGCATGGAAAGGATTCTCTTACATTTACCCACTCATATCATTATGCAGATACAAGGAGGTCTTTGAGAGTCTGAGTCTAAATTTATGCCATCCCATATTGTCTCTGGATTTGGCCCATGGTGCTAAATGAGAAAATTTGCCAATATTCTGTTTTCAGGCATATCTAAAGTATGTGGCATACTCGCCACATAAACCCCATATATATTTTTCTGTTGCTTGCAGATTTGTATGGAACTAAAAGTGACAAACATTTTCTCTAGTGCAAGAAATTTGTAATGAAAATATTGGAAAACAGACCTAATTAAATTAACCTGAAAGTTCTTTGACTCCTAAAACTCTCTTCCTGAAAATGTAGGCTTCGTAGCCAAGGAGAAAATACCTGACAACAGTTCAGTTGCTGATTCGCCAAGACTATTGCTAACATTGTCTTCTTGTCTCTGTTTCTTCTGCTTATCTGTTTGCATCAGTCCCTAGTCTCCTATCATAGGCATAGATAGTCAGCTCACTGGTGCAGGGACCATCCATTTGTTTTCTACACTGCTTAACACAAGTGTCAGATCTGATCCACAACTGAGGTTCTCAGGAACTACAAAAATGCAAAGAATGCATAGCAAGGATGATGATACTTACTTAAAGTGCAATTCATTCTAGGCAAAAGTATAGCCCTAGACTTATGTAACTTCTTCAAACCCACTAAAGATAACTAAAATACAACAATTTGGGGACCCTGTAACATAAAACATTTGTCATTTTCATCATAAATATCCTAGAGTAAAGAAAAATGTACTATGTCTCAGGTGTTTGTAATCTTTTAAAATATTCTAGTGAAATAAAATGTTTCTACTTTATTGTGTTGCACAGGGTGACATGGGTCCAATTGGTTTACTAGGTCCACCTGGTAATACAGGTGAGAAGGTAAGTTTTTGTTTTAAGTTTTGTATTTTCATCTTAAAGTCACATCCATTGGAAGGGAGTGGGATGTTTGCAGGCATGTTGAGACTGACCATATTTGAGCTGTGCAGTGCATCTTTGGGAATTTGTCATCATTTGAAATTTAAAATAATGTTCTATCAAAATATAATTTGCAAGAATAAATTGGACCATAGTCATATGTTTCATTGACCTCTTTTCCAGAATGTTTCCAACTTTATTAATAATTTTTAAAAATGAAATTTTCCCAGGGAATACAAAGTTATAGAACTTTATAGCTTTTGTCTCCTATGTTGGAAGAAGCTCAGGACTGTAGCTCTATAAGTGCTTTAAAGTCACTGTAGATTAGTAGCATAACTAAGCAGAGCAACTGGAGTGTGCAAAAATAGCCCTCACTGCAGCCATGGCTGCCTTGTGTGGAGCCACTACCCAGGACATAGAGCTGCCCTGTTACATCTCTGCTTGAGACTGTAAATTAAGTCTCTTCATTCCTTCTTCTAAAATCCAGTCCTTAGTATTAGGGAGTTGGTAAGGTTTCAGCATACTGTGCTCCTTCTTATCAGGCAGAGGGAGCAAAGCTGAACTACACATGCACTTCAGGCTGTCCATCCTCCTGGGCGGACTGCATTTTGGATTTGGTGCAGACTCCACCACTGGCAAATTGTTTCATAGTTTCATAGATTTAGGGTCGGAAGGGACC